CGCGTTGACTCGGGGTACTGTGTAAATACGGAGTCACTGTGTGCGGAATAATGATGAGCCTTGTATGTTGTCTCCACGGCAGAATTTGGGAAACTGGATCCCCTTCTGCGTCTGGCTGTGTCTCCCCTTTCACCCTCGATCCTTCCTTGGTCTGTGCGAGAACGTCACATCGACAGGTCCATACTAAGGAATCGAGAACCACCTTGACAAGCCTGTGTTGCTTCAATGATATCAAGGTTCTGCTTCAGAAGTTCTAGCTAAAGAGTATCGAAATGTACTTTTCTCCGCGCGTTCGCTTTTCACGCTCCAACCGGCCTCAAGAGACGACCAACTGCGCTTTTATCCTTTCGGGTCTCTATGTTTTTACACGATGCTTTGCGCGCGCGAGTCTACCATCCAACGTGACCCTCCCCGTAGCGAGAGTTCCAGCCAGAGGTGGTGTGCCGCGCCCCCTAAGCACGACCACCAGCACCTCCTCTCGGCGAGTCCCGACCCGAATTGCCATTCTTGATGGCGTCCAAAATCAGGTCGCGAGCCGACAAAACGCCTTCTTCTCGGCCGACGATGGTAATGGCCTCTCCTTCCTCACCCTTGCCCGAGTTTCGGTTCGGAACTTGAATGTCGCACCCTGACTGTCGACGGATGGCATTGATAGTAGAACCACCCTGTCCGATGATGTGGCGGTGTAGTCGGGGATCCGGGAGAATGAGGTAGCCCGTGTGTTGGGGCTCAGAAGCTTTCTCTAGCATCGACTGAATCTTCTCTTTTGTCTTGGCCACGGCGTCGTCTGAAGCATCCTTGCCTCCCAGGATGACCCAAGGAATCTCGCCCGCATCGCTCTTCAAATCGTCTTGGTTAGAGACAATGTCCCACGAGTACGATTGCTCGTTCCCGGGCTGATCAGTAATAAGCGGCATATCGCCATTGGTCGTCCGTGCCCTTGGGCCACGGTTTGCGGCAGGTTTGGGAGGCGGCTTCTGTCCGTTGTGATCGACGCGGATGCCGTCCCGTGCCAGCTCACGGAAGAGGGCGCCGTTACGAGAGATAGTGTGGTGTAAGGCCCGCGGGACCATGATTGTCTCGCCTGTGGGCTTCGAGGTCAATGACTGGATGTGCTCTTTGGCCTTGGAGACATTCTCTGCGCGACCAGCAATCTTCACACCAGTCTGACCACTTCCTTGACGTGGCACATTGAGGGTCACACCGAACTGTTCTTCCAGCTTCTTGCGTATGCTGCCATTGGGCCCGATCAGCTCGCGGTGCTGGCCAACAGGAACATCTACGGTCTCGGTGATTTGGTTTTCTCTCTCGTCCACGAAGCTTTGGATGGAAGCCTGAATCTTTTCAACCACATCAGCGGTACCTTTGATCGTAAGATCATCAGACTCTTCGCCCTGACGAGGGAACCGAACATGTTCAGCACTGGTGCTGGTGCCACCGGCCTTTGAGACAATGCTTTGGATGTTGGCACCTGTAGAAGTCAGCATTGGAGTATCATACCGACAGAGGAGAGGGGACATACCGCCAGAGCCGATCAGAGCACGGTGGTGTTTTCTGTCGACCTTCAAAACACGCGTGACAACATCATCAAAAGCCTTTGATCGCTTCTGTAGTTCTTGCCGGGCCTTCTCGACTTGCTGCTTAGTACCTTTGATCTGAATCATCACACGATCAGAGCCGTCAGCTTTTGGAATGTCAATCTGAGCTCCGGTATCAGCCCGAAGCTTCTCCATCTCCTGGCCGCGTCTGCCAATCAGAGAAGCGATTTGGCCTTGCGCCACCGAGACATTCGCGGTGTGAGAGTTGTCCACGAGGTATTGGTGGAGACTCAACAGTTCCTCGCGGACCTTTTCGGCCTTTGCTCGCGGGCCTCTGATCCTGACCTCGTCATGAGGCTGACCTCGGCTTGCACCAGCCTCGCTGGCGGTGTCAGCAACGGAGGCGTCATCACTGATCTTTGCCGCCTTGGGGAAATCAATCCGCACGGCGTTGTCGACCTTGCTCTGAATCTTCTGCAGGTTTTCCCCGTTCCGGCCCACGAGCATGCCGTGGTACTTGGGGTCAATCTTGATCGCAAAGTTGACTTCGTCCTCCCATTGCTTAGCCAGTCGTTGGATCTCGGTTTTGCATGCCTCCGCCTTCTTTTGTGGTCCTTTGATGGTGATTTTTCCATCCTCACGGGTGTCAATCTCCACATCGTGCTTTTCGCGTAGTGCCTTGATGTTTGCTCCTTGCTTTCCAATCAGGTTCTTGTTGTACTGCGCAGGGAATGCAAAGCTGGTAGTGTAGCCACGTTCCTTTTCATCCTGCTCCGCTTCTTGCAAGAACTCTTCAATCTTTCGCCGCAACTCCGCAATATCTGCCTCGCTGGGACCCCTGAGGTAGACTCTTTCCGAAGGTGAGCCGCGCGAGACTCCGTTCGATTGTCTGGCACCACCTCTGGGGCCACCGAAATCGACTTGCACGGGAAAAGACTGTGGGGGTGTTGGTTTCGGCTCGGTGTTGACGAATCGCTTGACTTTGTCCTGGAACTTCTTGGGGACGTGAATGTCCTGGACAGAAATGCCTTGGTGAGGAATGTTGCTCAGGAGTGCGGCTTGTGCCTCCTGGAGGGCCTTTTCGAAAGTGGCGATGTCGTCCTGGCTGGGTTTGGTTCGAGGAATAGAGAAGTTCTCGTCGCGTGAAGGGCCTTCGTAGACCAGGATAACAGGGTCAGAGCCATCCTCAGGCACAATCAAATGGACCCCTAGATTTTCCCTCAAGTTTGACGAGTGCATCCGTTCTAGATGAGGATGGAAGAAGGGATCAACTTCCACAAGCCCGATTCTTGAAGAGGGAAAGGCTTGAGCAATCCTACGGAGCTCATTGCCCGCAGTGGTCGCGTTCTTCTGGTCGTTGGTAATAACATTCCAGCTAGAGGAAGCGTTGTTTCCTTGGGGAAAGATGATCTCGGCGCCATGGGAGTTCATGAACTCTCGCTCGATGGCTTTCTGTTGCAGATATTGGGCAAGAGCCCTGGAGTGGCGTTCAGGGCCTTGAGGTGCATCCTGAAAGTGCTTCTGCAAATCAACGGCACGGTTGTACTTTTGAGACATCAACTGTTCAGCAAGATTGCGACCAGCTTCGAGCCGATCTCTGGGGCCGATGATGTGGTAGTCCTCGGTCTCATGATGAGAAGGGGGCAAAACCACGGCGCATCCGGTCTGCTCCAGGAATTCCAGGGGATCCATTCCCCGCTCACCAACGATGTATGGGTGCAAGATCTGCTCGCCGACCAGTTCTTCAAGGAGAAGCTCCTTCTGCAACTCTTCGGCCAATTGCTCGATCAGCAGACGCGCTTCCAATGCCGCAGCTTGTTCGCCAGAAATGACGATGTGGTCGTCCCCATGGGGGACGAAGACCGGTCTCTGACCAGCTTGGGCTGGTCGGGGCGGAGGTTGCTGATTCCAGGTGTGGTATCGGGGTACATTGATGCGAAGATCGCGCTCACGTTCCAGCTGTTGCAGGCGGTCGGCGTGGCGTCCAGCGATGAAGGGATAGAACTCGGGGGGAATTCCGCGAACGGGGAGGTCGACCTTCGGCTGTAGCGACTTGACCTGGTTGGAGATTTGCTCATAGACTTGACGGACTTGGGCAGCATTGCCCCGGATCTCCACCACATCGGTCTTGACGTCTTCTGGGTTGACCACCGGCTTTGTGTCTCGATCAATGCGGATGCGAACATTGAACTGGGTCTCGAGTTTCTTGATGTTTGCGCCGCCTCGTCCGATAACCTGAGCTGAAACGGTAGACGGGATCTCCAACCTGACTTGTTTCTCTAGGGTGAGTTCCTTGGAAACATACATCAAAGCTTCCGTGACTCGGTTCTTGGGGCCTTCAGCAATGAATTCGGTTCCTCTGCCGAAGTTGGCCGCTTTTGTCGTGACGGTGACGTTGAACTTCTTTTTGACATCGGCAAAGACTCGTGGGAGGGACTTGGTCTTGTCAAGATCGGCGTTGTCGATCTCGAATGAATCTCGAGCTCTTCCGGGCAGCAGGACGGCGGCACGAGCTGCAGGGTTGGCGACGGGAGTCCGAGCGCCGGGGGTCGAAGTCGGGGTAGGAGCACCGGAGGAGGCTGGGCGAGATCCCAAGGCAGAGGAGCCGTTGGCACCAGCACCTTTTGCCGAGAGATTGGCGTAAGAGATGGGGCGCGCAGAGGGAGCCGCGGCGGGTTTCGTAGCAGCTCCCAAAGCTGGGAAAGCCTCGTCGGACTGTGTGTCGAGGACAGGGGGTTTGTCGGACGCCTTTTGCTTGCCTGCCGCTTTCTCCGAGAGTGGAGCACTGCCACTGCCTTCAGCTTTGGAAGCATCCGTCTCTTCGACATGTTTATGCGGCGGAGGAGGGTGTTGGATGTCGTCCTCATCGGGGACGTCTTCAACGGTCACGCTGCGGCGGTGTGCCTCGGCAGCCTCATGCTGTTCCTGCATCAGCTGGGCGGGGGTCTTGGTGGTGCTGGAGCCGCCATCGGCAGTAGTGTCGACGGATGCTGTCGCCATGGGTAATGTTGGTGGCTTCAGGGAAGCCTCGAGTGGACCGTTATGAGAGGAACCGTAAGCGCAGGACGGGGAGACCGAGACCGTCTGAGAGGTTAGAGTACGAGGCTCATAAAATAATCCGTACAAGTATCGTCCTGAGGGGAAAGGTGAATGATAAAGCTGTCACTCCGAGAGGAGCTTACGGCAAGAATAACAGGTGGTGACAGGGGCACGCAGTCGAGGGCGGAAGAAAGTCGTCGCAACTCGAGATTATTCTGGAGTCGACTTTCCGACTTTCGACTTGTGGGGAACCGTGATGGAGCCGGCGTCGGAAAAGCTATTGTTGCGGGTGGAGCCACGTGACCGTCCGACGAGCGATCCCTGGTGGCGCTGGTGGCCTTCCCTGACACCTGCACGGTACCCGGTGGGCCCAATGGGCTGCCAGTTACGCTACCCATACTGAAGGTGTCAAAGTCTTCTTATTTATACCTCCTCGTTCGCTTTCTGCTTCTTGATAAACCCAACCTTGACACCCTCTGCTGGTGTTAAAATAATCTCTACGTGGAGGGTGCGCTTGCTTCCATAGTCCACGATCTGATCAAACTCCTGCAAGATCCTGACAATCGTATATCCCATCTCCACCATAGCAAACTGCTGCCCAATGCAGATTCTGGGTCCCCCGTTGAACGGGATGAAGTTCCACGCCTTTGGGGTCCAAGTCTCCCATCGCTCTGGCCACCATTCCAGCGGGTCATACGGGAACGACGGTGAGATCGGCGGATACAGGTCTCTCCTCCGCTGCATCATCAGAGTGCTGTAACCTATGATGGTGCCCTTCGGACAGCCGACTGGAGAATTTCCGTCTTTGCCCCCACCCCGCGGCAAGGAAGTATCGGTTAGCGCTGATCGGACATTGAAGGGCACAACTGGGTACAGTCGTAGCGTCTCGTTGATCGTGTGCGTCAGGTACTTCATGTCTTTGATATCCTGGTAAGTCGGCGGTCGGCCGCCGTCCCCTAGGAACTCTTTGATCTCTGCACGGAGCTTCTCAACCACTCGGGGATTCTTGGCCAGCTCCAGAAAGAGCCAGGACAGCGTGCTTGCAGTCGTATCTCGCCCTGCTAGCAAGAGAGCTGTGAGTTGATCGCGCATGACCTTGGGATCTCTCGTGTACCGGGCCAGGGCGTGGATGAAGGTGTCGGCCCGAGAAAGCTTCGAGTCCAACTCTTGCGGCGACATGGACAGGGCCTCGGTGATGAATGGTTGAATGAAGCGCTCCATTGTCTTCAAGCCAGCATAGAACGATTTCTTGCTGTAGAAGCGTTTAAGAGGCCTGAGATAACGTTAGGTGGGTGCTCAGCTCTATATCCGAATTCGAACTCACCCGAGTCGGCCTTCGAGGGACTGCACTCTCTGGACCTCGTCAAATGCAGCAGCGAACTCCGACTGTTCCACATCCAAGCTGCCAACACTGTGTCCGAAGAGGAAATGAGTTGAGGCGTCCAAGCTGAATCTGAAAAACAGCTTGTTCAACATGACCGCACCGCCGTCACCCGATCCCATCAGCGAGATCAACTTGCGCACGTGGCTCTCTATCAGGGGAAGGTCGGCCACTTTCTCACGTACAAACATGGGTCGGATCAGTTGGCGGGAGTTGTGCCATTGCTGGCCATCGGTCGTGAATATGCTGTCGCCGAGAAAGTCTGTCCATTCCCGATGGAACTCTTCGCCCTTGCCGAACTCTTGGAATTGAGTTGTCAGCAGGGCTTTCGTGTTCTCTGGATCGGCGGTGAACAAGACACGAACGTCTTCCAGGATGTGGAGCTCTGCGGTATAAGCAGCCGTTCCATTGGCGTCCGTGCCGGTGTGCTCGTAGATCCATTCCCAGAATTCCAGGGCCTCATTTCTGAGGATCGCCAGCGTCGAGTGCACCGGAAAGTCAAGGCCTGGGTTTGGACATCAGCACTCGTGGACGAGAATACGGGAACAGACCTACCAAAGAAGAACCGTGTCGTGACTCGCGGCGATTCTCCTCCTAGAGCTTGGACCTTCTGCCACTTGATGTATCGTCGGATGTAGACAGAGGCAACGTACGCCATGAAGGCCGTAAGCCCAAACCATTGCCACAATCGAAGTTGAAGGAACATGTTCAGCGCACGCAATCGCAGGCAGACGGAGTACAGTATCAACAAACTTGACTGTAGCAGAGGTCGGCCCTGAGAGTGGTCGAAGATATAGCCTCCGAAGGGGTTCGTCTGACGGGCGGCTGTCTGATACCGACGCAGAGGGGTAGATTCTGGCGATTGAGGTACACTGCCGGACAGTCGATACGCAGAGAGCTCACTGGAGTGGCAGTGGGAGGCAGCGCGAACCTAGAACCTCGATGCCCCGCAAAGCCCAAGTCTGCTCAGGTGAAGTTGGGAGGATGGACTGCTTGCTCGCTCCCTCGGTTGCGAAGCTGACGATCCCTCCAAGAATACGAAATACGGTCGGAACTAGCATGCTCCGCTCCAGCGGCATTGTCTCGACTTGCATGTGGTGGGGAGGTGGCGTTCTCGCAAGGGCTGCCCTTTTCCGGTCACCTGCTAGGGCCCTCGAGCCCTTGGCTTCCACCCATGCCAAGCCCATCTCCAACGTTTCATCTCAGCCATGAAGGAAATATCAGCTACAAGTTGCAACCGCCTTCCATCAAGCACCAGGTCATTGTCACCGGCGACGACCGGATTCCAAGGTCGACTACCGCTCTTTCTCTCCACTCGCCCAACCTGCTCGTGGCCGCTTCAAGCATCGATTCGTTTCTCGTCCCAGACCACAACACTTCTGCGGCCGCTGCTACTCTGGGCCACAGCTTCGAATCTAGGTCCTGAGAGTCGGTCTGTTCGCTCCACATCAGGACTTCACCCCCTTCAATGCTGTCCTGAAGTTCTCTGGCGATACCCGCCACGGGGTCGTAGGTATACATATGACGCCAGTTATGAAACGGAGCGCAGTAATCGAGATAAGGTTTCTTCAAGCGACTGGAGAAGCCACCCGAGGTGTTGTACGGGACGCCAGGGGGTGACTTGCCGGATGCATATGGGTCAAGGAAGACGCCGTATCCACCTATCACAATAAGCAATGTTTTGCGGCAAGGGCTCCATGCTTACAGTCTAAATACCAATGATGGTAATCGCCGAATATCGCGCGGTGGCCCCGTTTGAGGACTTCATCGATGCGTTCACTGTTGCGCCATACCTGAACCAGTGTCTGCGTTGTTGGGTCGTTGGGGCCGGCAGACGGTAGCGTCAAGTTCCAATCGAGGAGCATCTCCTCCCACACGATCGGCTGAAGGCCAAATTGAATACTGGTACCCACAACGTGATCAATGAGACGCTGCAAAAGAGGTTGCAGCACTTCCGGATTATCGCTCTTCACCGTCTCATCCAGCTTGTACGCCGCCAAATTGACTTCATCACCACCAACATGGTATAGGGAGGTATATTGTCTTGTTCGGGGCAGGATGTCATCGAGCAGGGTGTAAATGAACGTGTCTACAGCGGAGAGGTTGAGCTTGAGCTGCCCGCTCAATGGCTCAGCAGCGAATGTTGACCAATCTAGCTCATTGTACGCCGCAATCAACTCCGGATAAGCGTGCGCAATGGAAGCCGTATGGCCCGGCACGTCAATCTCGAGGTAAACCGAAACACCTTTCGAAGCACCGTACATTTGGACTTCGCGAAGGCTTCTGGCGGTCCAAACCAGGCCTGGATGGTATGCACCTTTCTGCGCCAGCTCTGGAAGTGAGGGGATTTCGATCGGCCAGCTTTGAGAATCCGTTGCGTGGACGTGCAATCTGCTCATTTTAGCCATTGCCATTCCGTCAATCGTGCGCAGCAGATCTTGTGGTTCAAAGGGGTTCCTAGCAATATCAATACTCAGGCCTCGATGGCGCCACTCCGGTCGATCAGCAATTTTCACAGGCACAAAAGGAGTGTAGGTACCCGACAAGGCCGAATGGGCGAAGAACAGCTGCTGGAACGATTGAAGACCCCTGATGGTGCCAATGCTGCTGTTGGAGGTGATGAACGCTGTTTCATTGGTAATGAGGATCTCGTACGATTCGTCACCGCCGAAGAAGCTGGAGGGCCGGAATCTCTCTGGTGGTGGGCAGTGGCGCTGTTGAATTTTCAGTCGGGAAATGTACTGACGAGGAGCGCTTCGATCAGGTTCAAAGGTTGCGTTTCGTTTGTGTAACTTCCAGGGCACAAACTTGGATCTGTGGATGGATTTAATGGTGTCACGAACTGCGTCTTCGACAATAGAGCTCTCGGAGAAATCAACTTCCCCATTCCTGCTCTTGCCTGGGAAGGCAAATGGCAACCTGTCCACGAACCCTTGGGCATAACGTGACATCCCCTTGAGATGCTGCGTCAAGTGGTTGCTGTAAAGAACATAATCTTGGTCATGACCCCGATCCTCTCCATTGTCGCACTTGAGCGTCGCCTGCAACGCCGTGTCTAGCCATAAGACTCGGGTGCCAGTTTTGATCTCGGCTGGTTGAGGCCATATTGCCAGACAAGGGGAGACGAGGATCGATAAGACGCCGAGTAGCGTTCGCGGAAGCATCTCGGCGTAGAGCGTCACCGCCAGACATGAAGCATCCCGGAGATACGAAACTGAGGTTGGAGTCAAGCCGAAGTGAAGTCGGAGTCAATTTGTGGGGATGCTCGGATGACTAAGCGGAGATTCCAGCACGGATCACGTGATCTGGCAGATTGCAAATTGGCAATGCCTTCTTCGCCTTGCCTCTCGCTACTTCTACAAACACCCACCAACACCTTACATCCACATCTCACGCCGACATCAAACGACAGATTCCGCGTTTCCCAAAACTCTCAGACGAGCAGGGTACCTGTTTGGAGCGCCACATTGCCCTGATCCGTCGCTCGACCAAAGACGACAAAAACGTCTCCCGTCATTGTTCCGCACATAACAAAGGCGCGACATCTCTAGCTTGCCTCCCCTAGCGAGGCGAATCTCGCCCTTCTTCCTGCCTCCATCACCTTTCATCCCTGCGAGTCTTTCGACAGGATGTCGACCATCGCCCTTGAGACGCCGTTGGCGGAGGCGCTGAGCAGTGCCGTACACTCCAAGATCATCGAGGAAGGCTGGACACAGGATGACGACACGTCTTTAGCGGAGTATATCGTCCTCATGTTGGCCAACGGAAAGACCCAGGACCAGATCGCATCAGAGCTCGCGGGCGAGTTATTACAGGATGCGAAAGGCACCACCGAGTTTGCGCAGTGGCTGTTCGAACAAGTCAACACGTTATCCGGCGGCTCGGCCGCTGCGCCAACAGTCACATCACAATCCACCGAACAACAGGCGCAATTTGGCGCGCAAGGGTCAGCATCGTCGGATCCTGCCGATAATGCAACCTCGGCCATCCCTGCCGCGTATGATACAGACATGGTTGATAACGCGCCCGAGAACGCGTAAGTCCTCTCCTAGATGTTGCAAATTGTCGCACATATGCTGACTTGCTATCGTAGACCTCGAGGACCCAAAGGCTTACACGGCGGCCGTGCTGCCGGCCGAGGCAACCGAGGAGGCGCGACCAACAAAACCGCCGATTCGGCCCTCCACCGAGTTCGGGGGAACGACCGAATAAACACGCACGGCAACGTACGCGGTGCGCCCAAAGGACCGCGTGGTGGGCAGAACCGCGAAATGCGACCCGGTATGCAGAAGGCGTTGAATGGCATGAGCATGACCGGGCCTCCAGGCATGCAGAATGCCATGATGATGAACGGCGCACAGCAAGGTCCAGGAATGATGCAGATGACGCCTCAACAACAGATGGAATTCATGGCAATGATGGAACAACAGACACGCATGCTGGCTCAGTTCACCGGCATGATGCCAGGAGCGGGCAACGGGTTCCCACAGGGCCAACAGAACGGCCAGGGTCGGTCCCTGTTTGATAGAGTCGAACCCGGTCGTGGTCGAGGAGGCGGCAGAGGGCGAGGCAGGGGAGGCGTCGGGCAAAATGGCCATCTCAAGTCCCCCACGAAGACGAATGACGGAGATACCAGCATGGAAGGTGACGGTCAATCGACGACCGGCGACGCCATGACGACGACGGAAGGTCAGGAAGCGGGCGACGCCGAGCGAAAACCCCAGGATCCCTCGACCACCATGTGCCATTTCAACCTGCGCTGCACCAATCCCGACTGCGCGTACGTCCACCAATCGCCCGCGGCCCCGGAAGGCACCATCGTCGACATGTCCGACACGTGCACCTTCGGTCCGGCGTGCAAGAACTCCAAGTGCGTGGCCAAGCACCCTTCGCCGGCCAAAGTCAAGGCGTACCAAGCACAGGAACTCTGCAAGTTCTTCCCCAACTGCACGAAACCAAACTGCCCGTTCAAACATCCCAGCATGCCGCTCTGCAGATTCGGCGCCAACTGCAAGACCCCGAATTGTGCCTTCACCCACGTCCAGACGGCCTGCAAGTTCAACCCCTGTACGAACCTGAAGTGTCCGTACAAGCACGAGCCCGGCCAGCAAAAGACGACCAACTTCGCCGACTACACGTGGACGCCGGAGAAACAGGCCGAACAAGACGCGGCGAACCAACACGTCAGTGACCGCAAGTTCGTGGACGATCAAGCAGGCGAGGAGGAGCTCGTCAAGCCCGACGCGAGTGGAAGTGGCGAGACGCAGATGCGGGAGGAGGTGATCACCTAAGCCAGTGGCCATGCCGACGGGAAGTGCAGTCACCCAAAACCAGGATATTGAGACAGATAGAAAGGGAAAGGGTTGAAGGGCGGTTCGCCGATGTGCTGCCATCGGCCCCGCCATGTACCTGTACAGTATTATGAAAGCATACAAACCGGCGCTTTTTGTGAAGGGATCTACTTTTCTCATATCGACCTTGCACGCGGAGGGCGGGCAAATTCCAAGTTCCGATTCCCGTGGCTCGAAGTCGCTAGCAGACGGGTGTTGTCTGTCTCGTTTTTCCATTCATTCTTTTTCCATCTCCGCATGAGGCTCTCTGATTAAGTTGTCGTGTCGTATCGTATCGTCTCGTATCGTAGTCCTGACATTCATGTATGCCTTGCTACTTACTGTGCCTGTACATGTGCGTGTTTGTATGCGTGTCGAGGCAGGAAGGACAGGTTCCCAAGTCATCACGGTAAAAGTTTTTAAGATTCAACCACCTCAGTCAAGACGCCCTCAATCAACGCCCCGTCCCTTTCCACGTCGACCTGCCAATTACTCACGGCGATGCGCGCGGCAGCTCTGCCCTCCCACACCGTGCCAGTGATGTACATTTTCCCCGTCTGGTTGACGCGCCTGACGAACGATCGTGTGGTGGCGTCGTCGGCGTCGTCGTCGTCGTCGTCGTCGTCGTCGTCGTCGTCATCCTTGCTACCTCTTACTCGGAACAAGACGACAATGAACGTCCTCGCGACGGTGTCGGCGGCCGATCCTCCGGCCGCGTTGCGCGAGGAGGGGAGCACCTCGAACCTCGGATCGCCGAGTAGCCAGCGGGTGACGCGGCGAGCGAGACCGATCTGCCGCTTCAGCATGGCCAGGTATCCTTCGCGCCCGTACGCCGCGAGGGTGGCGTAGACGGGCAGGGCGCGGAAGCGGCGCGAGTTCTCGATCCCGATGTTCAAGGGGCTTTGGATGGCGGGGAGGAATGTGTCGTGGTCGTTGTCGTTGTCATCGCGCCCCCGAGCGCCGGAGCCTGCCACGCCGCCGGTCAGGTATGCTGCGTTGCCGTTCTGGAAGACGTCTTCCAAGAGGGGTTTGTGTCGTGTGAAGAAGACGCCGCAGTCGTAGGGGACGTTGAGCAGCTTGTGGCAGTCGCCTGTGATGGAGTCGGCCAGCTCGAGACCCTGCACGCCGCGGACGATGCTGGAGTATTCTGCGTCTGGCGGCTCTGCCCCTCCGCCAGCTTCAGCATCAGCATCAGCATCAGCTTCCGGGATGAGCCGGCCAAACAGCCCGAACGCGCCGTCCACGTGGATCCAGACGCCGTGGGTGTCGCAGATGCGGCGGATCTGCGTCCATTGAGAGGCGGAATTGGTGGCGAAGCGGCCGGTGTTGACCTCGCCGGCCGAGATGGCGAGGATGTTCAACACGTCGGGCTTTGAGGCCTCTTGCTCCAGTTTCTGCAGGTCGATTTCTAATGGGTCGTCCTTTGCGGAGATGGAGATGACGTTCCGCCGCCCGATGCCGACTATGCTTGCCGCTTTGGCTATGCTGGAGTGAGGCAGCGTGCTGAGGACTTGGATCCTCGTCACGCCGGCTTTTTGCATCAGGTGGAACAGGCCTTGTTCTCCCGTCGACGTGTCGCTGTCAGTGTCGGGTGATTGAGCAATGTGCCCAACAAGACTTCTGAGCTTGTGCCGAAGGACGTGTTCCCGGCCTAGAGCGAGTCCGAGGACGTTACTCGCTGTTGCGCCCGTCGTGAACGTGCCACCGCCAGTGGTGTGGGGTTTGCCGACGGCCCAGGTCGACTCCGGCAGACGGAAGAGCTGGACGAGCATGTTGAGAGCCACGACTTCGAGGGTCGTGGCGAGGGTCTCCTTGGGGAGATGTACCTGGACATTCTGATCATAAATCGAGGCCAGGAAGTCGCCCAGTAGCGCGGCGGGTGTGGCTCCGCCCGTCACGAAGCCGTAATAGTTCGGAGAGAGGGAGGAGAGGTTGAGGTGAGGCAGGACCGCAGTAGTGAGGTGCACGCCCAGCCGTGAGAGGAGGTCGTCCTGACATTGGTGTTGCTGGTCGAATAACTCATTGCCCGCAGTTGAAGACGCAAGTGGCTGTGCGATGTTGGGCGAAGGTGGTTCGGGGACGTCTCGTGGTAGGACAGGGAAGTTCTCTTCGCGTCCATTTGGTGTTGACGACGGCGAGAGCCGATGAAAGATGGCGAGGTCGGGAGAGGATATGATCTGTTGCAATGTCCGTACCACCTCTTCAAGGCCTGTCAGCCGATCCATTGCGCGTACTGTACTGTGACTGGAAGAATTAAAGTACGGAGGTAGACAAGAAGACAGGGTTTCGATCCGTCTTCGGCTTGCGGGAAGAGATCTACTGTATGTTTCGTTGCGCGCTGTCAGAAGATGATCCCGTCAGTCCTTACTCTTACCTTCTTTGGGTACATACTGATCGAATCTGCACGTCAGTCGAGCAGCTCGGTCTACGACCGTATGTACATCTCGTTTGCAGTTCACCGCTGTAAATGTCACCGTGACTCACAGATGGCTGACGAGACTCTTACGGAAGGTGGATGCGACGATGGCGCGACATGTGTACTGCCGCTATATCGTGCTAGGATCACCTCGCTATTAGCTTCCAATTTCGAACTTTCGGAGGAAGTTGTATGATCGAGTAGATCTACAGTGGAAAGCGAGTAGAAGCGCGCGGTCTGGTTTTTGAGTGGGGATGCAAGTTCAAAATCGAGGCAAGGAAGCAGACTGATGCAGGTTACTTCGAGTAAGAAGAGAACAGATTCAGGTTTACAGCTTGGAAGTCGAAAGCGAGCAGGTCTTCCCCTAGCGGCTGAGGCGTATGTCTTTCACAGTCCCGTCCTGTATTCTGACCTTTACTTGTTACCCTCTCGCTGGGCTGAGCTCGAAGGGCCAGAGTTGAGTCCACACGATTCAGCTAAATACTCCGGCGAACGCAGTAAAATGTACGACTCCTCTTCTTCAGGCTTCTGCTAGCTGATTTAATCCTATAGGGATAAGATCTGTTACGTCTCTCGCACTTGATCAATAAGAAAGCCGTCGTGGATGGAGGGACCCTCGACGTCCGCTCACTGTCCAGCCACGCGTCAATTTTCTAGTACTTGAGTTATACCTGTGGTGACTTCTCTTCTGAAATTGTTGAGAGCAGCCCGTGTACTTCCCGTATATGTCCAGTGTAGTGCAGCTGCTTCACACGTTTACATTACTATGAATACGGAAGGTTTACAAAGGGTAGGAAAGTGGTATTAGTATTATGTCCTTGCATGCCAAGTTAGATACTGGCAGCATATAGCCTCTCGAATGCAATAGGCCTTAGAGCTAACTTCGAAGAAAGCAGAGCTTTTGCACACCATCTCGACGAACTGATCCACGCACAGCACCTGATCCGAGCCCACATTTCGGCGAGCTGTGTCATCCTCCCCCTTCAATGCAGTGCTATGCAACCATGCCCAACGACAAGGGCAAAATGCGAAATATGTCCAGCGTGATGTTGACGTTCGAGAGAGGGGATGAGAGTTAGTCTTTTCCACGTCGACAAGGGGCTAGGAAAGGGCGATCGCAAGAGGCGAAGCAGCGCTCAAAGCAGCACAACGAGGCCAGCGATACCAGCCACCGCTGCAAGGCCTCCAGCAAGTTCCGGTCGGTGGGCAGCGCCGGTGTAAGCTGCCGGGGCGACGGAGCTGGTAGAGGCAGCAGCTACACCCGTCGGCGCTTGCGGTTGGCCATCCGAGAGAACAGTAATCGGAGCGGAGGGTGTCGACGCCGGCGCTTGGGGTTGGCCGTCCGAGAGAAC